CATGCAATTCTTGACTAGCATACATTGGTTACATGGGCAAGTATATGAAGCAAATTGTAATCCACCAAACTAGACAAAAATCAGTGATAAAATCATGTGAAAATAGGCCCAAATAACCACTGATATGCAACCATGGTATGCAAAAATAATGAGTTACTTTGGAGGGCCATGCAAGGAGTTATTAAGCACATGCAAGGTAGACATTTAGCATGGCATAAAAAACTATGAAAATCAAATATGGTAGTCCTAAAACTCACCAAATTGACCCTGGAAAGTGGCTTCAAATCATGCAAGATAGGGTCTCTTTGGAAGGCCAAAATGACCACCAAACAAGTCAAGGAGAGAGGGGTCACCCCCCTCTGATTTGGAGGCTCAAAACAAGAGACAATCGAGCATAAAAGGAAGCATATGACCTCAAACAAGAAAATTCCCTAATCAAACATGAAGATGATGTCAAAATGAGACTTTTTCCAGTTTATAACAGATCTCAAAAGTGAACACAAATAGGGCTAATCTATCATGCAAAAATAGCCCTAAAAGAGAGAATAGAGACAAGGGACTGTAGCTGGCCCCAAATGGCAAAGAACCCTTCAAAAAAGTTGAAGAGAGGCTCAAAACAAGGCACTTTACAGTTTGGCTCGAAGCCCAAAAATGCTTACAAACAGGGCTAACATATCATGCAAGAAATAGCCAGAAAAGAGGAATAAAGAGGCAAGTGGTAGTAGCTGACCTCAAACAGAGGAGATCCCTTCAACAAAGTTGAAGAGGAGCTCAAAAAAAGACATTTCACAGTTTATGACCAAGTCCAAAACAGCTCACAAATAAGCCTAAAATATCATGCAAAAATAGGCCTAAAAGAGAGATTAAACACAAAGGGTAAGGAGAAGACCTCAAACAGCAAGAGGTCCTTGATCAAACATGAAAAGAAGCTCAAAATATGACTATTTACAGTTTAGGTTGGAGCCCAAAAATGTAAGCAACAAAGGCTAAGATATAGAACAAAATAAGGCAAGAAAGAGAGAGAAGAGGACTCACCCTTGTAGCACAAGTCTTCAGCAGCTTTTGAACCAAGGAAAGGTGCTTCTAACCTCTAAAAAACAGCCTCAAGTTGCTGGAATGGAGTGTGGAGGTTGTAGGCTTGGAGGTGGTGTGTAAATGGCCAAGGATAATGGACTTTAGAGCTTGGAAGGGAGAGCTATGGAGGAAGATGGTTGTGTGCCTTAGCAAAAATCTCTAACCCTTAGAAATGAAGCTCAAGTGTTGGTTTTATAGAGGGAGAGAGGCCAAGGGAAAATGGGGGAAAATCAAATTCAAGTTTCCCCCTCAAAAGGCAACCCCTCGGATACAGGATCTGGGGGGAAACAGCTGGCACAGCTGGAATACACTTGGAGAGAGGATCATGGCCGGCCAGGTTCAAAAGGTTCAGGTGGCCGGCAGGCCACCCCCCATGGCCGGCCAGATAGGGGTCAAAAGGGTCAATGCAAATAGCTGGCCGGCCACCCAAAAAAGGTGGCCTCCCATGTGTGCACAACACAAATATGTGGTCAAAATCCAAAAAAAGTGAACCAGGAGAGAGAAAAGCCAACTTTTTAGAGGGGTTCAAAAGGGTCAAGGACAATTACTGGCCGGCCTATACATATTGGTGGCCTCCCAGGTGTGTACAACACAAATATAGGGTTTAGGGCTAAAGAAAGTGGCCTCGGGGAGGTCAACATTAGCTTTTTAGTGAGGAAAACGGGTGACGGAGAGCGATGAAGAAATAAACCTGGCTTTTCAGAACAATTGCTGGCCTCCCACCCTTCTACAAGCTTCCTAACAATGAAAATGAGGTCTCCACCAAACAAGAACCAAAACGGATGCAAAACGGAGGTTCGGGGACCGAAATGTGCGGCCCGGGGCCCCGAAAATGGGCTGTTAAGCACCGGAGGTGGCATTCGACCACGAAGTTGGTCTCTCGGGCCACAGTGTCTCCCAAAATGGAAATAAGATGTGTGCCAAAAATCGGAGCAAACGGAGGTGGTTAGGCAGTCCCGAACCGAGGCACACGGCCGTCGGCTCCAAAAAATCAAAAACTAGGTCCAAATGGGAAAAATGGCCTACGACTACGAAACGTAGCCTATGGCCACTGAGAGATGATCCACGAGACCTCTCTCTCCCTTCGGGAAGAGAAATTAGAGAAAACAAAGCCTGGTTCGCAAACCGAGGCAAGGCACGAAAGAGTCCGGAAGTCCGGAGGCAAGGCTCGCAGCCGAGACTCTGAAACTTCAGAACGAGTAAAAGTGAACACAAAGTGTGACAGATGCACTATGTGAACAGAGTGTGATAGATTCACTAAAAGCGAACACAATGTGTGATAGATGCACTATGTGAACAAAGTGTGATTGATACATTAAAAGTGAACACAAAGTGTGACAGATGCACTATGTGAACAGAGTGTGATAGATTCACTAAAAGCGAACACAATGTGTGATAGATGCACTATGTGAACAAAGTGTGATTGATACATTAAAAGTGAACACAAAGTGTGACAGATGCACTATGTGAACAGAGTGTGATAGATTCACTAAAAGCGAACACAATGTGTGATAGATGCACTATGTGAACAAAGTGTGATTGATACATTAAAAGTGAACACAAAGTGTGACAGATGCACTATGTGAACAGAGTGTGATAGATTCACTAAAAGCGAACACAATGTGTGATAGATGCACTATGTGAACAAAGTGTGATTGATACATTAAAAGTGAACACAAAGTGTGACAGATGCACTATGTGAACAGAGTGTGATAGATTCACTAAAAGCGAACACAATGTGTGATAGATGCACTATGTGAACAAAGTGTGATTGATACATTAAAAGTGAACACAAAGTGTGACAGATGCACTATGTGAACAGAGTGTGATAGATTCACTAAAAGCGAACACAATGTGTGATAGATGCACTATGTGAACAGGTGTGATGGATACACTAAAAGCGAACACAAAGTGTGATAGATGCACTAAGTGAACAAGTGTGATGGATACACAAAAGGTGAACACAAAGTGTGATAGATGCACTTAGTGAACAAGTGTGATGGATACACAAAAGGTGAACACGAAGTGTGATAGATGCACTTAGTGAACAAAGTGTGATGGATATACAAAAGGTTAACACCAAGTGTGATAGATGCACTTAGTGAAGAAGTGTGATGGATACACAAAAGGTGAACACAAAGTGTGATAGATGCACTTAGTGAACAAGTGTGATGGATACACAAAAGGTGAACACGAAGTGTGATAGATGCACTTAGTGAACAAATGTGGTGGATACACAAAAGGTTAACACAGAGTGTGATAGATGCACTATGCAAACGAGTGTGATGGATACACTAAAGGTGAACACAAAGTGTGATAGATGCACTATGTGAACAGAGTATGATTGATATACTAAATGAATGAAGTATGATTGATACACTAAATGTGAACACGAAGTGTGATAGATGCACTTAGTGAACAGAGTATGATAGATATACTGAAAATGAACACAAAGTGTGATAGATGCACTTAGTGAATAAAGTATGATTGATATATCTCTGTTTTTTTATTTATGTCTTATTCACCCAAAAAAAGATATATTGAAAATGAACACAAAGTGTGATAGATGCAGTATGTGAACAGAGTATGATTGATATACTAAATGTGAACACGAAGTGTGATAGATGCACTTAGTGAACGAGTGTGATGGATACACTAAATGTACACAAAGTGTGATAGATGCATTTAGTGAACAGAGTATGATTGATATACTGAATGTGAACACAAAGTGTGATAGATGCACTATGTGAACAGAGTATGATTGATATACTAAATGTGAACACAAAGTGTGATAGATAGATAGATAGATCAGAAATGGGTTAGTGTGAGAGGCAGGCTTCTCTCTAGAAACTTCGTTTCCAGGGTTTGCATTCGATACTTCACTGAACTGCGGATTCTTGTTTGAAATGGAAACAAAAGATTTGACTAAAAAGGGGAACATTAATGCTATACTAAATGAAGAGAGAGGTAGCGAGTTGAGTGGTCTTAGTGGGTCGTATGGTGAGTTTAGCCCTAAAAGTCTAAATCTCTCAGAAATAGAGTTAGAAACCCTAGTTGTGCTTGCACAAAATAGTGAGAAGAAACCGAGAGGGGTTACGGCGGCTTCCATCCAGGAGATCTCAGATCGTCTTGCGGCTATAAAGGCTAGATCGGCGATGGAAGAGGATTCTCATCCTTTTGTTAGATCCACTCTTGCGGATCTATCGACTCCGATTGCTCAATCGACGAATTGGTCGGATAGGGTTGAAGGGGAGCTTCGATCTAAGCTTATGGATCTTCCAGATAGTGTTGAGGTCACAAAAAATTGGGGTATCACTCAACAACATGGTGCGATTGCTGAAAAGGTGGATATTCCGTTGGGTTCACAGGAGAAAGGGGATATTGACATGGGGGACAAAGACTTGGATGCTGATGAGTCTGGTGCAGATGGAAGCCCTAGAGGGATCGCTAGCCAAACTGATCATGTTTCTAATGAATCGGATCCCAACCCTAGAGGATCTGTGGGTAACACTCGAGGTGGGTTTCATAACCAAGGTCGTGGTACCAACCCTAATAATAGGGGTGGTCGTGGAGGCAAAGGGCCGTTTCGTTGCGCTGAGGGTCGATCGTGGGCTAATGTGGCCTCATCTTCAGTCCGGTCAGAGGTAAAACTTAAATACTATCCCCCTAAACTTGATCAGGATAAGATAGTTGTTGAGTTGCCTCCCCCCTCGCCTATGGTTAGCTTGTCTGGTGGGATACTTCATTGATAAAAATCTACCGTATACCCTTATCAAAAACAATGCTAATAATATGTGGAAGAATAAGGGGCTGGTTGATATTCTGAAAAATGATGATGGGTTTTTCTTCTTTATGTTTGAAAATCGGGATTGCTGTATTGACGTCTTGGAGGCTTCCTTCTTATACTGAAACAGTGGCATCGAATGATGAAATTGTCTAAGGAAGACAAGAAAACCATCCCTATTTGGGTGAAATTCCATAATATTCCTCTTGAATATTGGGATGGAGATGGTTTAGAAAGAATAGCAAGTGCAGTGGGTGTTCCACTGTTTATGGATCAACTTACCTCCTCGGGAAGTAGGATCTCCTTCGCTAGAGTTTGTGTGGATATTTCAGCTGCATCTGAATTCCCTGATAGTTTTATAATTACAAGTGGTGATGTATCCATGAATATCCATGTGGAGTATCAAGGTGTACCATCGAGATGTATGCACTGTCATGTTTTTGGACATGAGACTAAGACCTGCCTCTCTGCTCAAGTAACACATCTCATTGAGTTACAGAAGAATTCTGAAGACAGGGTTGAAGTTGATGAGGGATGGACTACTGTGAAGGATAAGGGTAAAAGAAAAGTGGGGGACCAAACCTGCCCTCTTCAAGAAGTTCCTACTGAAGTTGATAGCTCGTCTGCAACTAAGGGGGGTGACCTAGTCCCTGAGCCTGAGGAGGCTGCTCCTCAACCAGAGATTGAAGAAAATGCTGCCAATATTATGGGCCAGATTGATGCCTCTCACTCTGAGGCTATGGAAACTGTTGAGACCACAACCCTAGCAGCTGAGGAAAACATCAAAAAGACTGAGGAGGTGGAGGAAGAGGAAATGAGAGCAAAACCTCCTGAACTACAGGGGGGAAAGGAGGATGGTGGGCCAAAGGGGGGCAGCTCAACCAAGCAGAAGTCTTCTGGCATCTGGCAAACCGCTCAGGAATAGCAGATGGCAAACACGGTGTCCTAGGCGACCAATGCACATGCAATGCAAAGAAACACATAAGTGTAGTCAAAACCAGATATCATGAGTTCGAGTCAAGTTCTCTAACTCCCCAGCAAAGTCGCCAGAAAATGTAGACGTCCCGAACGCCCCGAGAGGATGAGTCCCGTTCTGTTCATTGGCTCACTACAAGTTCGGACTCTCAAATTGTCACGGTTCTTAATCTGAACCAAAGAGTCCAAATCCGGCAAATCGTTTTGAGAAAACAGATTTTTTGAAAGAAGTTCCAAACATGGACTGCTTTGCCAGATACAGAGTCGCCACCTAAATGTTTTTATTTGGGGAAATTTAGGAAACCCTGACTCGTTTGCCTAAGGCCACGTGTCCGTCATCACTAAAGTTGCCTCGGCTTGGGAACTTGGGTACGATTGGGGAAGGTCACTTCGTGAGCTCCCCGCTTGCCCGATCAAAGATCGGCCTCTACTAACCATGATATATAGTTTTTGAAAACTTTATGCGTTCTTATTCCGGTTATTAGCCTAGATTTACTATGTGATGCGCACAACATACAAGTATAGACTTGGGTCCGAAATTGGAACAAAACATTTCATGTTTGTTTATTTTGAAAATGGTTTGATGGTGCTACTCGCAAGTAGGCTAAGACGTGGATTTGCCACCCTCCGGGTGGGCTTAGAAACATATTTTGCCACTATCTAGTGGGCTTTAAACACACATTTTAACGAATTGCTCCAACTCAAATAACCCAACCTTCACCCACAAGCATTCAGGAAGTTATATCACATAAGCACTTAGCCTTTATGGTAAGCATGCTATCATGGCAGTCACTCACAAACATGCAAGGATGCTAAAGCATAAACACTTACCGAGTACTCCAAGCCAAAACAAAAGCTATGTTAGAAATCCATGCATAATCCTAACTATACAGAAAATGCCTAATGCAACACATGCAAAATGCAACTAGATAGGCTCGGCTATTCTAAAGATGGCATGTGAAATGCTACAACTAAATGTATTCAACTTGGAATTGAGATACAATGCAGTTAGTATGATGCGCTGAGCCCGGTGCATGCAAGACAGATGAATGAATACAAACATGCTAATCATACTGTATGCTAATTGAAACATGCCCTAATCTAACCATCATAAGCTGATAAATAACAGGGAGAAAGACGTGGGTTGGAAACATACAACACACTACGCACACTTATTACAACATAGCCCTCGCACAGAGGGTCCAATAAATAATACAGTCCCAAATGAATAAATAATACAGTCCCGAATAAATACAGAATCCTAATTAATTAACAAATTAATCTAGGAAAGCAGTAAATTTTGCACGCAAATCCATGGACCGCCTCAGCTCTTGTCCAAATGATGAATGATGCATGCTCGGGTTGCCTTGTGCGGAGAAATCCCTTGCGATGCCCCGGTTTGCCACTGATTGCAATTATTCTTGGAATGCGTGCCAAGCTCGGAAGGCTGCTGATTTCTGATTTGCTGCAACATAGAGCAACAAAGGGGCATGGCAAAAGTATTTTCACAATATGTATGCATGACTACTCTTCAGGGAGTGTAGTCC